TCCACCAGAAAGGTGACCCCGTCATATGCGCCAACTACCGCGACCCCACGTTCAACGAACTCATTGGCCCTTATAAGTGTGGCTTTAGACCTGGGAAATCCGCCATAGATCAGATATTCATAACACGCTATATCTTGGAAAATACCTGCGAGACTAGGTTCGAGTAGCCTATATGCTGCGAAGCCTAAATTAGAATAGGGAAGGACCGCTCGGAGCCGTTCACCACCAAACGGGGTTTCAGACAGGGAGACTCTCTTTCATGTGACTTCTTTAATCTGATAATGGATAAGATAATAAGAGCTGTAGAACTGAACCACTCAGGTGCAATTTACTACCAGAGCGTACAATTACTGACGTATGCTGACGATATCGAAATTATCGGTAAAAACCAGGGCTACGTCTGTTCTGCCTTCTCGGAATTAGATAGAGAAACAAAGCGAAAGGGGTATAGTGGTGAACGAGGACAAACTAAGTATCTCCTCTTATCAGACAAACAGTCAGATCATAAGCATTTTGGCATTCGCGTCACTGTTGACAGTTACAAGTTTGAAAAAGTAGAAGACTTGGTTTATTTAGAAATCAGTATTAACACGAATCACAAATTGCAATTGCAAATTGAATTGCAAATATCAGTAGGACCGAATTACTCCTGCACTTTACTATGTACGATTAATAGATTGTTAAAGAATTTCTTACTGGCCATTGTAGAATAGTGAAGAACTTGTCTAACCAGAGAGTAGTTCGGGTTGTATTATGAGGAAGAGAAAAGATTAGTATGTGTAACTGTGAAGCCATTACTAGGCCTAGACTTCGCTTCCTAGGACCACCGTACCTAGAAATGCATGAACTAAATAGCACTCAGCACCAACCAACCAAATACAAGTTTATTGCAATATATCGGCCTTGGGTTGTACTCCTGCTCCTCTAAATAACGAACTAATGTGAATACATACATACATATATGTTGGCAATTTCCGGTAATTAAATGATAAACAAAGGCTACTTATGCTGGATTTCCACTAGGCATTAAATGGCAAAAATGACAAATGATAAAGTCGGTCATTAAAAAATAATCGTGTCATTACATTAAAAAAATAATCATTAAGATCATTTCCACATGGCATTTTTTTTAAATGGCAGACATTTTTTGTCATTTCAATGCCTAGTGGAAATTCGGCATTATGATTTGTCCGACTTCAATTATAAGCTACTGAACATACCTGTTCGTTAACAGTAAAACATTTGTAGCAATCCGTTGTATTTCCGCATGCATGATAAAAAAAATTGCATACTTTTTGGTGTTTTACGCAAAGACTTGATTGCGAATTGTTTACTTTTTGAATGTTGAGTGCAAATGCTGAGAAAGAAGTTGAAAAATACTGCTTGTTTGCTTTTGGTAGTATTCGACTATGAGAAAATTATTTCTTAATTAATTTTCTCTGTTACCGTTACGCTTTTGGATGGATTAATGAGCTATTAAATGTATCGATTTATCAAAATATTGCAAATAAATTTTTCGCTGTCACTCCAATGAATCGTAATTAAAACTGATTTACATAGTAATTTTATGCGACCGAGGCAAACTCAATGCAACCCTCTGCGCTTCCGTCTACAAAACTTAAATATTTTTTCCGCACTTAATTTCATTTAAATCTTGTCTCAACTCTCCGTTTAGGCTCCTCGTATTCCGCACAATGTAGGCTACTCTTCAGCAATTCCACGCCTTCACCAACTTCACGAATTGTTTAATAGGCTACCTTTTTAATTTTAGTAAGCAGCCGCTGGTCTTAAGACGCTCTTTGGTTTTGTGTTTTTTTGCGACATCTGTATTATATTTTATTCCAGTTGTGTATGTGTGTGTTTGGTATTTTTTTGCATCAGTGTTGGCAATTTCAACTCAAAATTAAAAAGAAATTAACTAAACGACGTCTCATCTTAAATTTCCGTTTTACACATATACACATATGTATGCACTTATTTTATATATATGTATTTATACGAGTATATGTATGTATGTGTTTAGGTTTTTCTATAACTCGTATTTATGAATTTTGCACAGCGCCAATAGTATTGATATTGAAATGACTCGAAAATGTTGCAAACCAAACAAAGAACGCAGCTAATGTGTAGGGCAATGCGGATAGGATGGGATGATTGTTGTTCTGATACAATGTGGAGGCGGCATGATTGCAGAGTTCGGCTGTGCACGCACAATAGATGGCCTGCACGTCATGTGTGCCGGAGCGTTTCAAGCAAAGGCCGTCATCGGTACGTTCATCGGGTATGTAGCCACATCCGCGTACCACGCGCACCTTGCCATAGACTGGGAGAGGAGAGTGTGGAAGAAATTTGGTTTTAATTAATAACGTCTCCGTCACTCCACGTAACATTACTCACCCTTTTGTGTATATAAAATAGTAAAGTCTGGGGACACCAATTGGTCATGTTTTTTAAGAACGACCCAAATATTCAAGGCCGTATTTAAGAAAAGTCGCCGAATTTCGATAATTTTTATGCGATTGCAATAAATGAGCTATCAGTTTATTTGAAAATATATTTAATTTTACATAGTACTACATATTTTGAAAATGTGGAAATTATTGATGGTCTAAATTTAAAAAATTAAGAGTACTTAATATGGTTTTTTTTTACAACAGTTTTTTTGCTCTCCTGAAAAATACTTATTTTCAATTTCGATAGTTTGACATGGTAGCGACAATATATTAATATACATATTTTTACTCGAATCAGTATTAATCAAAACCTCAATATGCCTCGTATGCTTATATTTTTCCAGCAACCACCGCGCTGATGTGTTACGACTGCAACAGCGCCTACGATCCCAATTGTGGTGATCCCTTTGAGCCATATACCCTTGGTAAGGTTAACTGCACCCAGCAGGAGCCGCTAGAGCATCTCAAGGACAAATACTCCAAGCCAGTGCTGTGCCGCAAGACC